AATTATACAATAAATATTTGAACAACATACCAAGAAATATTGAATTCTTCTCCAATTGATTTTTATTTGATTTCCGCAAGTTTTCTTTTTTTTTTTTTTGCTTACTTTTTAGAGCAGAGTCGAGTCATTTTCCAGGGTAGCTGGTTACATGATGTAGAGCTAGAGAAAGTTCCATTTGTTGGCAAAATTCGAGCTGCTAAAGGAAAAGTCGCCGGTTCATGAACCGGTTAAGTATCTGGCAAATAAATGCAGGCTCCAACATGTTGCTCGAGCTGCCTTTGATAGATTCTTTGAAAGTTTTTGCTTATCAAATACGCTTTGAGCTTTTGTTACTCTGAATTCAGAGCATGATTCACACACGCAGCAGAGAAGAGATTACACACCCGTCTCACAAGCCCCGCCCCCCTCGGTCCTAAATGGTCTCACCGCAGCGTGAATCCAATTGGATCTGTCGCCGTTTCTAATCAAGTGCAGTAAGTGCTCCCGTGCACGACCCCGGTTAACATGTGCACATATGTACACACATGTATGTATGTATGTATGTATGTATGTATGTGCGTGCATGTGTGTATAGAGCGGTAAGCACGCCCACGCAGGCCGCCGCCCTTGGATATGCACACCTAGGCGAGCGACACGAACTGTTGATTTAATTCAATCAATGTTGTTGTTGTTGTTGTTGTTTTCACTTTTAATGTGTCGCCCGCCGGCAACAAAAAGAGCAACAATTTTAACAACAACAACAACGAGGGGAAATTTGTTTTGCCGGCAAACTTAATAAATAATAACAAAGCAACAACAACAAAGGCGCCGGCCGCTGAATGAGTTGCATGAGAAACAAGCAGCAAAACATAATAAACAATGAGTGCTTCAGTGGAGAGTGCCCGACCAGCAGATACCCTGTATCAAGCACGTTCGTCTCGAGTACCTCATATATGTATGTTAGATACACACATATTTACAAAACAGATAGTTGCACTCTATAATACCCTTTCACGCAAAACAGCTGGGTATAGGAAGCTATGAATAGACGCTCTTTTAATGATTTCTAGTTTTTATTTATTTACTTTAATCATTCGGGGTTTCTTTAGTGCTTTACGTCAATCATTAAGTTTCTTCAGTGATAATTTTGTGGCACCTTTTTTTGGTGCGTTATTTATTTAACTTGATTTTAGTTTCGCGCCAGGCGCACTTCACATACCCTACAGATTCGATAAGTATATCAGCAGCGTTGACTGCGATGGATATTGTAAACTTAATCAATAATATGCAGCATCGCTTTACTATTTAATGTTGATTTGCCTCCTTCTGCCTGTTACATACCTATGCACAAAAGCATTGTACCCCATTTTCAATGGGTTCAGGGTATACAATATTTTTCGTTTATTTAGTTTCGGGTTGACCTTTCCATTTGCCTGGACAAATGTACATGCACATACATGCATAGTATGAGCTTTCAGATAACAGAATACTAGACTGACAAAAGTACAGCTATTCGCTGCACTCGCTTTGCTGCGTAGCAAAAGCTTTCACACAACTCCAATAGCAACCTTTCTGCATAGTGTATGCACACACGCACACGCGCGCGCACACATAACAGTTGCCGGCAAGCTCGTAGCAAAAACAAAAAGCAACATTCGAGAGAGAGAGAGAGAGAGCGAGCGAGCGAGAGAGGAGAGTCAAAATTGTGCAAAATTTTTACACTCTGACCGCGATCGTTCGCTTTATTGGGTGAAGGTCACACCGGGCTGTGCTGCTCTGCTGCGTTTTTGTATTTGTTTATCTTTGCTTTTGTGTGTGTGTGTTTTTTTTTTGCTTTTTGTTCTGTTCATTTGCTGGTCTGTTGTCGCAGTCGCTGTTTGCTGTTATTCTCAACTGCTTTTTGTGCTGATCGCTTCGGGATCTAAGCACGAGCTTAGAACGGACATTGATTCAGGTATGCTTGCATTGCATTTGATGATAAACTTAAGATAACCAGAAGATACGCTATTCCCATGATTAACAAAAGTTAGCTTATCTTATTGAAATCCAAAGCTTTTTTTTATGCCAAAATGTATTTTATTTCATATCTTAAACTAGATTTGATAATATTTCAGTTCAAATGAAATACTTGATAAGATTTTTACAGTTCTCTTTGTTCAAAGATCGAAGATAATTGCAAGCGAAAATAGCGGCAATTCATGATCTAACGGCACCAACTTGTGCAGTAACCGTGACAGCTTCACCAAATGTCACTGTGACTGGCTCAGCCTGGAACGTAGCGGTCATTCATTTAAAATTAGCTTCACTTGTTTGCATTCGTGATTTTAGTTGTATTCCGTTTGTTGCGTTGCGGATTCTATAGCGGGACAGTCGTCTGGTTTTACTGGGTATTTTGATATTCATAAATTTGAACGCCTCTACGCCTCATGTCCAGATACTTATGGCTGTCACTGTTTAGCGTACATTCTTTGTTAATTTATTGCTTAACTTCATTTGAGTTGGCTAAGTGGGCATTTTCTAGCATCCGACCTTGACCATTAAACTGAACACACACACACACACACACACACACACACACACACACACACCACACACACACACACACACACATACACACACATACAGAATAGTACTGAAAGCAACGCAAAAGAAAAAGTACAAAAAATACGTATAGAAACGTTGAAATAGCCTTATTTCAAATTGCTTTTTCCATTTTTGTATTCCATGAAGTTTGGTTGAATGTTAAAATATTGTATACCAACAACAAGAGCCAGAAAAAAAAACACTTCTAATGCTATATATATATATATATATATATATAATTGTACCCATATATGTAAGTAGGTACGTTGCGCAGGAATTAAAATACGCAAAATACAAAAATACCAATTAGTATATACTACTTATTGACAATTCTCGCTAGATGAATGATGTATGCATATTAAATTATATAGCCATGCTTTACCAATCCATAAACTATAGCTATAATACATAAACAAATATTATGTATATACGATTATAGGACATATAATACAAGCAAAATAAACAGAGTCAGGAAATTAAACGTTATATTCATATATCTAACAATTTGTAGGCAGTCTTTTCTGCCAATTATCTGCATACACATTATGTTTATGGAGCACACATACATATATGCATATAGTATATATATAGCATATATGTATATATGTGTTTATAGAGTATAACTGGAACTGTTGCCCAGTTGGCAATGTTGTCTACGGCGAAGCTTAAAAGTTGTGTAACATGCCCCAAAGCACGATTGAGAAGATTTAATAAAATTAAAGGCCAAAAGCCAACCAGAAACCAAGTCTGCGTACACTTTCCTTTTGTCGGGGTAATTCCGTTTTATTTTCAGATTTGCCACAATTCTTAATAGAAGAAGACAAACCCCATAGTTGTTGCTTTAGTTGTCCGTATCGATAACCATCGGAACGATCGGTCAAAAATTGAGTTTTTCTAGGGATTTATGTACCTGGAATATAGTTAAAGCGCGCACCTTATCACTTTTATATGGTAATATAGCTTTATGGGAAGAATCGATCTAAACATTTGCTGCGATGTGCAAACTAGAGTTTGATTTTTATCGATTTTGTGGGAAGAAGATGTTAATATATCAAAGGATTTGCCCAGCTCTTAGTTTCTTAAACAATGTGTTCACGTAGACAGATAAGGCTAGATCGTTTTACCTTAGCTTCCGGATCAAGAATGAGATCCGATAAGTTACCTTCATGCTATCAGTAAATATATCAACGTAAGCTAGACATTTGTATAGTTGAATATCAAGATCAGGATATATGGCAGAGATGCGGTGCGGCGCAGGTCGTTCGCGATTGGGCGTGGCAGGTGAAGTGAGTGTGGCGTGGCCAGGTGAGTGTGGCAGCCGCCAGCTGTAAGCTGTAGCTGCCACATCCTTGTCGTGTATGTCACATAACTGGCTCAGCGGCTTTTTAGCCCTCTTGTTAAAAACATTCAGGCTGTGTTTCAATTTTGTTGTTGCTGTTTTTTGTTTTTGTTTCTTTTTTTTTGTATTCGTTTCTTATTTTCTTTTTACTTTTAATTGCGTATAGATTTCGATGCCTGCAGCTTGCAAGCGGGACAGGTGTAATTCCTCAATATGAGTTGCCAAATCGCCTGCAAAGGGCAACGCAAGTGAGTGCGAGTGAGGCCCACAACGAATATTTGATGCCCTTAGCTATCAATGTTTATACTTTTTCGATATTTGTTCATATTTTATGGGATATGGTATCTCCTGTGATATGATCTGTTCGAGCTTTTGTCAAATATATACTAATACTATTATTCTTGAGAGCTGCTCATTTAGTTGTGAGTCATCCAGTGCTCGACATTGACAAATAATGCAAATAACAACAATAATGTTAGGCTGGCCTGAGTTTAGTTTGTTATGAACTGATAATTATCAAAGCTTTTCCTTAAACTTGTTGAGAATTGTAAGCCAAAACAGCACCCCTCTTAACTAACTAACTTTCTGGAAAGTGCAAAGTGTGCTGTCGCAAATTGAGCGCTAAAGCTGAAGGACCTCAGCGAGGAACGACTGACAGACCGACAGACAGAGGAGTGTGCTTATAAGCCAGGGCAGTCCTTGAGGATCGGTTAGCGCAAGGTGTTTGCTAGGCAACGGGCCCAGCTGTAGTCAAACCTGTAGCTGTACCTGCCACATGGGTACTGATTAAGGTCCGCACGAGGATGCCAGTCGGTCAATGTGCGTGCCGCTTAATTGAGCTTAATGCAGGAGGCAAGAGGCCGACTGACGGCGCGGCGGAGCGGGGTGTGGAGGGTGAAAAAACTCAGTTTGATACAATTAGGCACTGCTCCACCTTTTTAATGATAACCATTCAATTTAATGAGACCCAAAGGGTGCCACAGCTTGAATTGAGTTTGCTTGACTTGAGACTTGAATTGAGTTGATTTGTGTGGAAATGAGTTTAAACGCGAGTTGAGCTAAATTCGACTTGCTTGTGCTGAGGGCTTAGTCCGAAATGCTAAATATCGATTCCTTGCCAAACACACTTAGGGTGTCCACCCATGTTATGTTTGATGGCGTTCTCAAAGACCGTCTTGATGCAGTTGACCAGGGCCAGGGTGCAGAAGAGCCGGATCATTGGATAAACCGCACTCAAATGAAGTGTCAGCCGACCGGTAAGCACCTCGACCAGCCAAACAAGGAAATCCAGAGCCAGCATCAAGGTATTAAGTATTAACCATGGTGTTATATAATTTGGCTTTGTCTGAATAATAACAGCATTAAGTGGCCACAAGAAATAACAGTAATAAATAGATAAGAGATAAGAGCTTCGATCTTAGCAGCTGCTCAAATCGAAATAACAATCTGCTGGCAACTACTGCTAAGATTAGATGTCTCTCTGCAAGCGTATTTGAATATATTTGCACTCACATTGATCAGCGCATAGATCATCAACATCCAGGCATAGCTCATGATGAGTGCGCCCACCAAGCGACCCCTGCGGAGCACCTCAACGTCGAATACAAAGAATTTACGGGGTCGCCACATCTCGAGCGGGTGGCTGGATACGCAATAGATGTGGACACATTCGCCCACAGCTGCGATAGGCGCCAGTCAGGCTGAGGGCCTAGCACCAGCCAGAAGATTGTATGGAAAGAACTCGTACCCGGCATGGGGTGCATCCGCCAATAAACTGCCAGAGCTGATGCCAACGGGTGACCGGGCAAAAGTTCCATATGGAGAAGGAGCGGCACTTGCTCTCGGTCACGCGAAACTGGAATTTGCGCACCTTGAACATTTTCAACATATATATGTATATATATATATATATATATATATATAGTATATATATTGTTTTTTATATGGTTTATACAAATCGTCAACTTGATGTCGAAACGATTAGTTAAAATGCAATTTTCCACGTACTTTCAATTTGAAGCGAACCATGCAGTTAAAAATAAAATAAACATATACAAAAGTAAGAATGTTAGACGCTTTTAAATAATACTGACTACGAATTTAATCAAAGTCTCAAACCTATACAATGTTTGTAAACAGTTACTTTGTTTTTCGGTTTGCTCTCTGACCAACTGAGTATCTACTGGATAACTACTTAAGCACTATATCCCAGCGATTGTTCCTATAGATACTCTATAGTATTGTCAAACGATTTGACATGGCTTGCGAGATATGTTAGCAGAATCGTATAGTATGAAAGTTTCCTGAATATATCTTGAGAAACAGAAACATTTTCCATATAAAAACGAATTTTTCGATCACTTCTTCTTCTGATATAGTAGGCCGATATCTATATTAGATGTGGTCTCACATGTCAGGCAATTGACTTGAATAATAAAAGCTAATCTTGTACTACAACTTTATTTGGCAGCTCTTTTTGAGGAGATCTTTTTTAAAATGTCTAGCGAAATGATATGTCCCATACGATCCTATCTTTGGTGCATGTACTGAGGACAGGGTATCGACTTCTTAGATCCGGGACTTACCTTTGATTAACACAGGGCTATTGAGTAGGTTCTGGTGGGGTTTCGACCTAAGCTACTTTTGCTATTGATTCTATGTGTATATACGTGTGTGTCCATTGATTATTTTCCAATTAATGTGATTGGACTCAATTAAAATTGAGCAAGCCCGCATTTCTATGGTAACTGGAATCGTATAAACATCAAATCGTTTACAAACAATATTAATAGGCAAAAAAAAAATGGAAAAATGAGTAATAATAATAGGCAAGGGGAGGAGTCGCTTTTAAATTGGAAGGAAGGAAGCGAAAACTTAAAACCAAACAAATGCGACAATTATTAAACAAATAAATGCTAAGGGCTACGAGCTGGTGGGTGTGTAAACAAAACCCTCACCTGGGTGCTTGCTCGGACACGGCGCCGGGGGGGGAGGGCCATTAAATTAGTCAGCCGCATTGCGATACGTTTGGTAATTTCCCGGCAGTCACAACACCAAACAACGTGTGTAATTAACTCGACACACACAGCCACAGATGTGAGGAAGTAGGCTTATTTCGATATAATTATAATGGTGCTAGTGCAATAATTGCGAGGCTGATTCACAGCGCAATAACAACAAAATTGTGAGTACACCAGGTGCACACAAGGCGAAAACAGGTAGGCGCCAGCTAGTTGCTTGGCTGCCAAATGACAAAGACGAAGATGTCAGAGGGCTCGTTAAGGGCTGGCAAGCGGACGGGCGAAGTTCTCTCGACAGGAACATAGATAGTCAGATCTATGTGAATAACTTTTATGGCCGGTAACCAAGTTATTGTGCACCCTTTTGCCGAATGTGCGACTACACTGAGCAAAAATTGGACAGGTTTTTCGCAAAACTAAAATATATATGTATATATAGAAGTGCGTAACGACTTGGCTGTTGTCTGGAATGGTTTATTTTGTACATTTTTTAATATTTATTCCTAGCTATAGTTAACTTTTCCAGTAACTAAAATGAATTCATGTCTATTACTCCACTTGGTTTTCTGTCAGTGTAGTTGAATTGCTAACATGTATCTTGGAATAATAGCATTCAGTTTCACGCTGCGGCGTTGCATTTTTATGGATGCGCATTTTATGGCACTTTCACTTCACAATTGCCGGCCATAAAAATCCAAAGGCGATAAGCCGAAAATTCTAAGTAATTCCAGGAAACAGCAATTGCAACTGCGACTGCAACTGTGACTGCATCTTAAAAAGTGCTGATAAGATCAACGAATCTTCAGGAGATTTTTCATTTCAGGCGAGTTAGTCTGTGGGTGGTGGGCGGTGGGCGGTGGAAGGAGGTGCCAGAACAAATTGCTTGGTTATATTTTATCTAGTCCTGAAGTTAACTTTTTGTGAGAATAGAGCAGCTCGAAAATGAAGAGCTTGTTGGAAATATTTTTGAAAACAGAATATTTTGCAAATTAAGATCCTACTATTGCAACGATCAGATTTTACATTTATAGATGAGCATCATAATGCAACTTATAAAACAGAGAAAACTTTTCGTTCGATCGTACCGATGTATATAAAAAAATCTCTAATACCTAATTTGGATTAAAAAGTTATCGATACAAGAACCCAATTTTTGACTGATCTATATGATATAGCAGACCGCTATTGATAAGATGTTGCATGTAAACTTCTAAATGCCAAGTTTAAGTAAGAAATCTTCATATTTATAGAGCAATTTTTCATACAAGAACCAACTTTTTATCCCAATGGCAGCTGTATGATATAGTGCTCGATGTTATGTATGCTCCGACAAATGTTCTAAGTGCAACAGATGGACCAGTGCAAAGTTACCAGACGATAGCTTACAAACTGAGAGACAAGAAGTGTCAAACGGACAGTCGGATATGGCTATATATACATATATACTATATGGGGTCGGAAAGGTCGAAAGCTTGAAAAGATTTCCTAAGAACGGATAATATTTTTGCATTCTGTTGGATTAGGGCTTATATAAATAATTGGCTTGTGTAAGGGTTGAATATGAGTTTGTGTTTGTTCTTGATTGATTGACTTTTCTTACACATTTAAGCCGTATTTATTGTAAATATGTATTGATTTTTAATCGCATACTTATCATATTTGGAATTGACTTAAAGTAAGACCTATTTGAATCTATATTTGACTTAACCCGTAATTAATAAGACAGATGAGTGTAGTTTATTGTATATAAATGCTCACGGCAAAAGAAGAAGTCAAGTATATATGCATATATATATATATATATAAGATATCTACAGCTTAGGCCTGAATAAGTAAATGTTGTAGAATGGCACAGTTCCAAATCAGTTGCAATATCGAAATTTCCAATATTTGACAAATAAGCACTTTTTAAAATGCAGTCAGTTTCTATTGATTTCTTAAACATTCTTTTTGAATTTATATTAGGTATCAATTTTTGATATTTGAAGCCAACCCAAATAGAAGCCGATACAATTGTTCGTTAAATGATAGAATTTAGTCAACAGAAAATGAATACCCATATAAAAATATAAATCAGGGACGGCCAATAAAAACGCTCGAACGGATTTGACAACTTGTCAACTAGAGTTCTGCTGCGATTTGTTACACGGTGGCAAACAGGACAGGACACAGGTGCTGCTGCTCACAAGCAGTTCTAATGCGCTGCACTCATTGAGAATGTTTGAATAGGGTATAATGTGCTTGTGCAAAGGTAGGTGACAAGCAGAAGGACGCACACATGAAAGCAGGAACGTAGAATAATTGTAAATGTAGCTCAGCGCGTGGACTTAGGGTATCTGCTAGTTGGACACACCCGAGTAGAGCCCTCTTACTTGTTTGTACAAGTGTCTGTTCGTAGATACATCTATTTCCCAGAACGGGTCGTACTTATATTATGGTCTGTGTCAAAGTGTATTTCAATTGTGACGAAACATTTCTCAGCGCACAGAGCGGACAGCATGACAAGTGGAATTTCGGTTGAAAGCATATCCTGTCTGCCCTGGGGGCAATGCATTGCCATGAATATAACCAAAATGCAGCCAGCTCAACTGTTCGGCTTGAATTGTTGGCCCTAACATTAATAATAGTCAACTCGGCCAATTGCAATGGATGTGGCCAGTTCCTCAGATCCAGCAAGGAGCACAAACAACAACTCGGCAAATATTGAACCCGATGCCATTAGGTAGACATGCATGTCTTTCTTGGACTTATCATCTTGTTTTTAAAGAATTACGTTAATATTGTCTCTTGCCCAAACATAATTGTGCATCATGTCAAGTATTTATAGATACATCCCTTATTCTATCTATACCGTGATCTAATTGCAAATAGGGCAAAGAGTTTGACAATTTTGCTGCAAGCTTCTGTGCGAGACGTGAATTATGCAAAACAGGTTAATCATGTTTTTTTATCGTTTTCCTCCCCCATTTTAATAATATACATTTAAAGTGTTTATTTAGGCATAGTTCGTTCAATTGTACTATTTCTTGCTAGACTTTCACATTTTGATTGCTTACAATCTGAGTGCAGATTCTTTTCTATAACAAAATTTTCAACATGTGTCGATAACTTCGCCTGCCATTAGATCTTCAAGATTTAATTGATTTGATTCCTTACAATATAATATCCAATTTGCTTAGATACGGATCTTCGTACAAAGTTTTGAGTACAATTTTGATACCCTTGTAGATGGTTTAACATACTCAGCATTTATAAGCTTCGCTTTTCTCACATGTATGAACATTTCTTACCGCATCATATTTAGAATCAAACTTGAAATTAGTTTGATACATTTGTATTATCAATATTGATATTATTTATATATCAGTCTTTTAAATCGAACGACTGGTACGTTTCTGCAGGAAGAGATCCCGCTGGATAAATTATTTACCGGTGGAAGCTATCCAAATTCCCTTTTCAAATAATATAAACCATATTTCCATATAATTCAATTTTACTGAGTCTCTCATTAGGCGCCTTTTACATTCCGTCTTCTTTGTCTGTGCTAAGTAATATCATTTTTTTTGTCCCGACTTGAGGATTGATAGGAAATTGATATTTTTGCTGCCATTACCTTACGTGATTTCGCTAAGATAGAAATAGAAAGTTTCC